TTTCACCAAGGCATTTGATACGGTAAACCGCGGGGCATTGTGGCTGGTATTGGGTAAGTTTGGTTGTCCGATTAAATTTGTAAGTTTAATGAAATGTCTGAGCAGTGGTATGTGGTCGACGGTGCAGATGAGTGTAGAGACCTCGGATGACTTTGCAGTTACCTCTGGTGTGAAGCAAGACTATGTCTTAGCTCCTGTCCTGTTTAATACTTATCTTCATGTCATTATGTATTGTGCGTTTGATGCGGCTTGTGGTTACAGTATTCGTGTGGAGCATAGTATTGATTGTGAGTAGCTGAAGATCCGTCGTTTCGGTGCGAGAACCCTAGTCTTTGAGACAACTAACCGTATATTGCTGTTTGCTGACGACTGTGCGTCTTTTGCGCATAGCGCGGATGAGTTGCAGCACATGACTAGTGCTCCGGCTTCGACAGCGACCAAATTCGGGCTCACCACCAACACAAGCAAAACTATCTGTTCCTTTCAGCCTTCACCGGAGGTGCTATCCGCAATATTGCCGCAAATCAGCATTGGTGACGAAGTATTGGACACCACGCTCAGCCCCTACTATCATGGGAGTGTGATTTCGATTGACCAACAAATACACAGTGAGCTTCGTATCGGCGTATCGAAGGGAGCGGCAGTATTCGTGAACCCAGAGTACCGAGTGTGGAATAACCAGCAGCTTTCCGTCGGCACGAAGTTGATGAAGAATCCACGGTGCTGTCCGTTCTTCTATACGACAGCGAAACGTGAACGATGTACCGGCGAGATGTGAGATATCTCGAGCAAGTTCATCAACAGTGTCTGTGACGAATTCTGCGCATCGGATAGTGAGACAGATTTGCAGATACGGAGGAGTTGCGCCGAAGTGGAATGTATGCAATGGGCAGCATACTCTTGCTGAGATACTTGAGCTGACTCAGTCATGTGTGTCGTATGCATTTGATGCGGATACCGAAACAGCTATTATATAGTCGACTGAGTTCGGGGAAGCGGCATGTGGGGAAACCGAAGCTTCGTTACCAGGACATGATCAAAGTGAGCCTCTCAGGTTTTAACCTTGATTGCAAGTCATGGGAATTGAAAGTGGTTGATCGGCGTGAGTGGCGCGCTCTGATCACGAAGGTAGGTGTCCAGGTGCAGGAGAAAGTTCTCTTGCATACGGAGAAGAAGTGGCAATTGCGGAAGCGACAGGCACTAATAGGTTGTACTCCGTCGACATCGCGCGCGTCGTGCTCTAGCATATGCAGTCGCGAGTGCCTGAGTCAGGCAGACCTAGTTAGCTACGAGCGAGGCCGCTCAGGACCAGCACCGAAACGACGACGGGTGCTGCTGTGAATGTAGGTAGATCCGAGGCAGTTGGTAGGTACGCTGCATTCGAGTTACTAACGGCGCGCTTGCGTGTTGAGTTTTTTATTTCATGTGATTGGTTTGCTATATTTCGTAAATGTTTACCTTGTTTAGTCATTAAAAAGTTTGCTCGAATAAGCTTCTTTTTATTTACACACGTGGCTTAACCAGATTTTGGTTATACTCGTTAACGTATTCGCATTTCTGGCATATTTTAGAATAACTATCTTGTTCTGATATGGCGAACTTAACGTGGATTCTGGGCAACCCACTTATTGCACATGCTCATTTAGCGAATATGTAAGTCTGCGTATCCGTATGCATTATTCGATAACTATTATTTGTTATTTTAAATGATTGGCTGTTGTTTGACATTCCCGGTGTGGCTACGCTTGATGTGCATGTTGATAAGGTGCCTACTTGTCTAACACCCTCCACCTCAATTACTGGCTCCAGCAGACTGTGAATCGTTGCTTGGGGGGGGGGGGGGGGCGCACGATCCTCGTGGGTCGAACAGTGGTTCTATCCAATGTGGAACAGACTACAATCCAGCCACCGCCTTATGTGCGCCTCATTCTCCAAATACATCGTGCTTGTGTTTGCCTGTGAAGCACTGTGGACCGGCTCCGTTGATGAAACGTGGGTCCCATCCGCATGCCTTCCGGTCTTATTCCTTCGAATTCACGCTGGATATGGGGTGTGTGGATGGGACTGTGGGCATTGTAACGCAGGCCATTAATGGTCCCTTTGTAGGCACAGGCGCTCTGTGGCTATCCTATAGAGGTCACAGTGACAGGCAAATCCAGACCTGGATGCTGCTAACTATATACGTGGCTAATTGGTTATGGCAGCATATCAAACCCAAAGTCTGGAGTCCTGGGTTAATAAGAATAAGTTTGAATTTCCAAAAAAACTATAAAGCTCAGACTTAGGAGTATGTTTATTCAACTGGATCGCAGTCTAGTATTTTTGTTATCATAATGTGTGGTACCAATAGCCAGGTAAAGAGGAAATATTGCCGCATCCGTCGTTAACTTCAGGCACACGGTAGGGTGTCGCTCACATTGAAGTGAGTTAGGTGTTCAACAAACCGGTGCATAAAAGACACGGAACAGGCGAAGCACTGTATCAGTTGTGAAGCCAGCCCTATCATATAGGGTAGTGGTACTCAACCTAGGGGTAGTTATGCCCAAGGGGGAAAATGGAATTTTACGGGGGTAAATATAAGTGCGAGGATGGGGTCATCAATCTGGCCAAACAAAATTAATAATAAAATCATCTGTATCAAAACATATAACTGCCTGATCAATACTGGTCAGCAATCAGTGACTAGTCATTAGGGAGTGATCAGTAAATTTTATGCAAGCCTGAAAGGCATCGCAGCTAAATGGCGCCTCTATCGGCTCGTTCATCGAGTGTTGTTCTATTAAGTCAGGTACTCATTCACCGGGTCGAATAACAGAGTTGAGTGAACATTAAGGTAAGAAAGCGAGGGAATGTTAACAAGGCAGAAGGGACAAAACAGGCGACTGGTGTTCAGAACGTATCGATACAGTGTGGTGGAGGGAAGCTATCACTTAGGACGGACTTGAAAGGGATAGTTGAAACAAATAAGAAGTCACTGACATCTGTTCCTGTTTGAGAAGGGATCATCCAAAAGCGCAACAAATATATCAGTAATCGCTAAACATAAGCGCATTAACGCATATCATCCTTTGATTATTTAAAAATGACCCACAAATAGGTGTTTGCATTAGTTGAATGACCGAAAGTAATCAAGTGTTTACTTTGCTTAAGGTGGAAGACTATCTGATTTGGAAACTGGCTGCGATGGACCTCACAAAAAATGAAATAGTTAATTGGCTTTTCGAACTAAAATATTTTTGGTAATTGTTTATGGTGCACTCGCTTTGTGCGTAACAGCCTCAAAAGGTTGAGAATTACTGATCTACGGTATTCAGTAAGGTCGTTGCTGCATCTCGTCGATATCAACCAAGTCACCACAATTCATGATGATATGCCTCGGTGCGCGTTTCCGGCCTCACGCTAGCTGACGGTGAGAACGAACAAAGTGTCTTTTGAGGGGGGGACTTTAAGGAATCTTTGATGGTCTCTAAGCTGCAATTTGTGGTTGTGCAACGGAATGAAAAAATCGCCGCTGCATCTGATACTGCCGTTTCACTTTGGTGAACTTTTGAGGTCGAAACACTGTTCACCGAGATTCGGTCAGGAAGGTTGTCTTCGACATATTTGCTGAGTAAAACTCTGACACCAAAGCTACCTCTAATGGTCGACTCAACATTGCTAGATATGCAGATAGTATAGTCTTCCACATTAGAGTTAGAAGAATTGTTGGGGATAAATAAAAATACACCCGAGCCTCACATTAAGGTGTCAGATACACAGTAAACGTCAATTCGGATAAACAGAATGATCGAGCCGTCTGTTGACCAACGAGGTATTACGCGCGCACGCTGAAAGGCCCGTGGTAAAGTAGAACTCGTGATTCGAAACACAGGTTGTAAAGTCTGGAAGCCAAATAGAGAAAAGGGCACAGCCAACGAAGTTTTGTGGGTCGATGATACCATCTCCGTTTCGATTCCGAGGGAAAGCGGCGGTATCCGCTTGTTCGCTATGAGAGACGGGTGAGAGTATGGCATAGAAAACGTGTGTGTTAATCAAGGTAGCTGTGTCCCGCAAGTTTCGGCAGTCCACCTTATGCTTCAGTACCCAAAGAAACAAACAAACACTCCCGAGTAGGCTTGTATGCAATTTTCCTAGGCCGCCAATTACACATACACGTATGGAGCTGAGAAAACCGGATACCAAAACAACAAGATGATGACCAAGATCACTGCCTGTAGATAATGCACGACTTAGTAAATGCCGGATGCAGCGTCCACTGTAAGCAAAATGCCCCCAAGTGACGATCTTTTTTGACCAGTAGTGTGCATCCCGGTATAAAAGTTAAGGTGGTGGTGGTGATCGATGATCCGAACTGCGAGGAAGAGTGAAGCTTGTGCAGACGAATGTTAGGTGCTACCCGCTCGTAAAGCCTAACATTCATGCGCTTCAGATGCGGTCCCGTGATCGAATTCTACTCCAAAGTGAATAGTGGTTCAGAATGCGACTGCTCATCGCAATCCATTCACACAAAGCGTGCTTAAAAATGAATACTTTAATGAAGCTTGTCCAGAACGAGAGTGTGACTTCGGAGACTTGTAAACATCTAGCTGACGATGGTCAAGTGAGAACAACAGCACTTCAAGCGATTTTCTAGTAGGTGTTCAAATTGACGGCCAGGATACACCCAGTTTGAAACAAGAAGTGTCAACTAAGTGATTACTAAACACGCACGTCCAGTGCCAATAACAGCTCGCATTTTATACTAACTGAGCTGCGGTAATAACCGACAAAATTTTACCACCAATGTATGGATAAATGAGTTCTACCCAACGCCGACATAAAGGGGGACAGCGAGGCTGAATTTGGTCCATCTCTGACCCACTGTTTACCTGATACAGCCCAGGACAAGCGTCTATGCAACGTAGTTCAATGGTTATGGAAATGCACAAGCAGCCGCATGACATGAAGGTTCAAAGCCACTGCAACACCGAAGTAGACAGGAAACAACGCACCGTACTTACCCAGATCTCCTGTTTCCTAGAGATAGCGATGAAAAAAACGTGGGTCAGTGTGAGGTGCAGAGTGCCACGGACGTGAGCCTTTCCATCGAAATGATCGATGTAGAACACATCGTTAACCTGCGACCAAACAGTGTGACATAAAATTGCAGTCAAAAGGTTGTCATCGAACATTAGCATATTACGTCGCATATACATAGATATATTCTGGCGGAAAGAAGTGTGGCGAAATCTTTAGCAGTAACGGTCGACAAAGCCCAACGATACAAAGCGACAATAAGTCGTTGAGAGGATTACAGAAAAAGGAGAACAATGCAAACTGGCATCAGGAGTATGCCGGTACGCAGTACCGACTCTTCGCTACTGCGTAACTACTATCAGTTGCAGGTGGGCCAAGGATACTGCGATGGTCGCCTAGTCCCTACGCAGGCTCGAACCCGCACCGTCAGATTACAAGATAAACTTGGTATCTTTAGGTTAAGGATCGGCAAAAGTGGAGGGCTACAAGGACGGAAATGCACAAAGTGTAAAAAGGGAATGGCATGGAAACCCCCAGAGTAAAACAAGAATGCTGAAGACAATAAGCATGAAGCGAAAGAACAAGTGCGTTCAGCTCGCTAACGTGGGAAAGTAACCTAAATAACTGCAAAAAGCAAACAACTTCAACAGTGGTGCCAAACTATTCATTGGAACAACAGACAAGGTCGGAGATCTACCAAAGTAGGAGGGTTGTAAGCAGCATATTCAAAGTAAAGACGGATTTAGATTGAAGAGCAACTTCATGACAAACCGGACCATAGACAGATAAGAAAGACAGAAAATAGAAAATGCTGACATCATTTTACCGTTTGTAGCAGCATCAGTAGTCATGGGACAACTGATTAAAAAAGTTGAAAAATTCCCACCAATTCCGATCTGAGTAATGCTACCTTTTGGGCTATGCTGAGTAAGCAGACCTTTATACACCCTACTAAATTAGCTTTTGGGGTTGGTCAATCGCCTAAAATGTAGAAGAGTTCCGACTGCCATAGTTTCCTATTTGGAGTCCGGAGTGAGTCTCTCCAGAAGCTTGTTTGCGTTCTAACGAATGTAGATGGCTTATTGATGAGGCAGCCAGAAGTCAGGGAGTGTTACAACGGAGTGGATGACTTCTTGGAAAGGTGGGCCGATAGGCCCTCAGCTCTGGCCCAATTAGGTGAAAAAGCGGTATAAGGCTGAAGTTAAAGAATGTAGCGGCGATGGCACGTAGAGCACATATCAAACTGAATATGACACGACGTCAAAACAACCCGAAGTTTACTTTTACGTCTGTAAATAATCCTTGGGCTGTAGATTTGACTATTTACGTTTGAACAGATGTGCTAATCGGTGATTTGTTTTGCAGTATAGATTATGTGTATGGATTGTGGGATGATTTCGCAACCTGGACTACGTCATCATCATCATCAAACACGTCAGTTGGAGTGAAGAAACACCTCAACTAATGAGCCGCTGTACAATACAATTAGATGACCGTAAAAGAAAGGATGCAAAAGCATAAACGGCACAAAACAAACAATATTACACTTCTATTTATTAAGCATCAGTAGTGAAATCGTAGTTGGGGGGAGATGCAAAGAAACGCTTGAGGCCGGCTTCTGGCCACGTCAATAAGCGTCTCCAAAAAAGGTATTCATCTTCTTTCACACCCAACCCGGCAGTTAGGAGGCACCAACCTACGCCAATTTCGAAGCGAGGGATTCAATTAGTTTTGACTAAATCGTCCGTAGACCTCCCATCCTCCTCTTCAACAACTCACGCCCCGGTTCCGCAAACAGAGCGCTTTGCGAGAGTCGATATGCTGACATGAGTAACCCAGATCTCAGCCATCGGGGCTTAGTGCATGAGATAATGTTCACTTTCTCCTCTCATGCTATAAACTAGGTGCTAAACACGCCCCCTGTGCACGCGGCGTTCCTATCGGACGCAAACTGAATGACGAAGCAACCAGTGGTCTAACGAAATAAGCATTTTTATGTCTATCGATCTGATGGGCAAGATATCGTAACCATATAGACGACAGGAACGTACGGCTGCGTCGTAAACTCTGTCGTTCAAGGGGAGAGTGATGTCGCGCCCACGCCATAGGTGGCGAAGTCAAGAAAAAGCGCCTGCAGCTTCTACTACACTGTTCGTGATCCCACTCTCTCTACCATTCGTGCTGATACAGCTGGCAAGGCAGTTAAGTTTTGTGCACTTTCTATTTGATCCATACGAAAGGTTAGTGCAAGTACTTTGCGCTTAATGGGTGCAAGATAAAGCCTGAAACGATTGACAATCAATGTTAACCTGTGCAGTGACGCTCGACAAGTTTGTTAGCCGTCAGATATGATGGCAATGTCGTTGGCAAAATCCAAGTCGAGAAGTCTATAACCTAGAAACAGCTCCACACTGTCCAAGTCGTACCCAGTGAACGCATTTTCCATAACTGTGTTAATTATGAAGTTGATAAGAAAGGCAAGGATCATACACGTTATGCACGTTAGTTACAGATGGGAAACACCTCAGCTATTGTGCCGCAAAACATGAGAAAAGGCATACAACAGAGGCACGCAAGCTGAGTCAACGGTAACGGGTGGACATCATTCAGGAGGGCTCCCAGCTGGCAACTGTGCCGCAAAAAACCTACATTATGTATCCGAAGTGAGATTGTAGTTGGAGGGGGAGGCTAAGAAGAAGTAGGAGGGGCAAAGAAACTCACGACACAAACGCTACTGAGGTCGGCTCCTAAATATATCATGCCTCATGCTGAGGTTGATGTTGCATACATCACGCTTCTTCACCGTAGTCCGGCTCGACTAACCTACACTTAAACTATATCTTCTAAATCTGGATGAAAGGTATTCCACTTTATTTGAGTTTCTCATTGCTATTACTCTGCTGCATATTCCGTATGTGGATTTAGTTTACTTCTAATTCTATGTTGGTTGTTTGAATTCCCTGGTGTATGTGCACTTGATTTGAAGGTGGACAAGGTGCCTACCTGTCTAACACCCTACACCACTATTACTGGCTCCAGGAAACTGCTAGTCGTTGCTGGGGGGACGGGGCGCACAGCACTCGTGCCTGTTCTAGCCTCAAAAGGTGGTTTCCTGCATTTAGTGGACTACGGCGCAGCCACCACCTTTAGTACATCTGGTACGTATGATTCTAACGACACGTGTTCATCGTGTTGCTGGTCCCAACTGTTGTGTCCCCCAGGGGTTCGACTTAGCAGCTTCTTAGAGTGCGCCACGCAAGTCAAAAGACAACGCACCGGACGAGAAGTATATTTGCGAAACACTGCACGGGCCGATGTGGGTATGAAAATACAATGATTACAGTTCAAATCACGGCTGAGTGCTAATTTGAATTTATCGATCTCAAAGTCACGGGACGTGTGAGTGGTATGAAACAAGCGGTAGTAACAAATGTTCAGCAACACAGAAAACTCTAGTCTGCTTGTAACTGAGACTGTTCTGATACAATGCACACGGTTACTTGGGGAAATTGCGCACTTACCTTCCCGAACAAGTCAATTTGTTTCGTTTCTGTGCGCATTTGACTTTGGTCTGACCTAACACCAACCTTTAAACTAATGGCCTTCATTCCTCTTGAGCAAGTTACCGCTTGGCCTCCCCCTCTTCTTCTATCCACACGCCGGCCGCGCAAACAACGCATGTCGCAGGACTCGGTGTGCTGGTATGTGCAATACCTGACCCACCCATAGAGTCTGGTGCGTGATATAACAGTGCTGAGCGCTTCATTTACAGTTTCTAGGCTATAAACAAGGCGCTTATTCTTTCCACGGTGTTCCCAGCAGATATGAGGCAAACCGTGAATGCACTGGTGGTCGAACGCAAATAGCCTCTTTACGTCTGTCGATCAAATGGACCAGGTCTCACACCATACAGCCGGCATCCCTATCTCACAACGCCGGAGATAAGGAAGGGAGCGACCGTTTGCCACAGATCCCCACTCCACTCGAATTACACATATAAAGAGATCCGATAATGTTGACGCATTTCTCGAGCACACCTTCCCAGACCAACAGTTCAAAAGAGCACATCAATCCTCCGAATCGAAGGCACTTTTGATGTTGAGGAACACGACTACGGTGGGTCACCAATAAATATGGCGGTGTTCCAACAACTGACGTAAGGCGAAGATGTGATCAATGCAGCCTCGCGATTGACAAAACTCGATCTGCTCTTCACGAATCTGGCATTCACGGGCACCCGTCAGTCTATAGGGAACGACAGCGACAAGTAGGTTAAAGACGATAGAGACCAGATTGATCCCTCTATGATTCGCGCATTCCGGACGTGAGCTTTCATTGAAAATTGAGATTATAACGGCGCAGTTCGTCGATTTGGACCGTTTGTTTTTCCATTTTCATTAATAAATTATGCAAATCATGCAAATAGTCCCCAGAATTAAAAAAGTTGTTGAAGAAGTTTATCTGCCCCTGCAGCCTTATTATATTTCAACAACCCGATCTCACGTTCGGCTTTTGAGCATTAGGGTGGATCCAATGGGAAGACCGAAAGAGCAAGATGAGCACTAGTAGGAAGCGAGCGAATCTGGTAGCTTAAGCCGATTACATTACTACTCAGTGTTCGGCGAAGCGCCTTAAGTGTTTTGACAAGTTGTGAATAGGCTGATAGTCAGGTTTTGTAGCACTTTTCGTGTGTCTTGGATTGCGAATAGGCTGTCTACTCTCATCGCATGTAAACTCACTAATATTAGGTGCCCTATTGACCGTTTCGTGCATTAGACGGAACTTTGGATCGTTACCAAGGACAACGATCGTTTCCATCTTCTACTCACGATGAGACCATCAGGCTACGCGGCCTATCTTCAGGCCAGCACGCAGTTTGGCCCTGAGATCTTTGCGACACTTGTGTAACCATCCAACCGGAATGCATCGACGAGCATCGAGGAGTTCCAGAGACTGCGCAAAAGCTCATTGTCGAAGGTGTCGGAGTTGACACATGGAGGGTTGCCTGTTGGTGATAACGTCTGGCGGGTATTCCACCAGCAATCTTCAACTGCGTTCAGTGAGTGCTTAGTTAGCTCGCCCGTAAGTGTAATTTGATACG